ATTAAAAATAAGAAAACGCTTTTTACGCCTAAATCTCGCCTAGGCTCGCTTAAGTTCTAAAGCTTGAAGGTTCGTCTCCATATCTAGTCACGCTTTACGTTTTTTATATCACTACTTAAAACCTACCAACCAAACATATAAAAAAAATTAGAAAGAAAATAAAACTCCCACTAAAAAAAAAAACTCATGGCCAAACACCAACAAACCACAAACCTACCAAAAATTGCGCACACGATAGGTACACATTGAATATATATTAAGATACACGGTAAGTTGATATTGACTGATATGATCGATAATTTTGCTATATTTGTTATTTTTATTGTTCAATTGACTCGCCAAATTTGTACTATTTTGTGCACGTATGCTATAAATATATTATTTAGTTGAGTTTAAAAAGAAGTAAAAGTTACTTTTAAGTTAAATTATTATTGCTATGTTTGAATTAATAGAAAAGACTTATATTTAAACTTACTCATTTAGTATAAGTAGATTTTCTAAGCTCAACCAAACATGATTGCAAGTTTAATGATGTTAGTTGGGTGTTGCATAGTTGGGCTACCTTAATAAAGCCCCCAACCCATAAGAATTAGTTGGGCTACGGACGTAAGCTGTTTCGCAATACTCAATAATGGTTTAAAGAATTAAATGTGGTCAGACTTTTCAAAACATAGGTTTTTTTTTTTTTTTTTTCTTTTTTTCAAATGAAATTCGCAATTTCAGTCAATTTTTTCGAGTCTAATGATGATTAGTCAATTTCAATTCCAAGCCATTATTTCAAGTAAGAAATAAATTTTTGAGTCCGTAATCATGTCATTTGATACCGTGTTCAATGAGCAAACAATATATTGAAAAAAATATTTGGATGTATATAACTTTAAATTACAAAAGAAAATTTTTTCAAGGTGTTTATAATATTCTCTAAAAAAACACGCAAAAATACCTTATAGCATTAATAATTATATTAACTACATAGTCATCCATGAACGATCANCTACATAGTCATCCATGAACGATCAGAGGATTATTTTGCTGGAGACTAATAATTTGTTTTTTTTAATTACATCGGAGTGGGGAGCAAAGGATCGAACCTCCACATTCTGTACAAAAAAATTCTCACCAATGTCATTAGACCCGAGTGGTCTTGACATTCAAGACTAATAGTTGAGGTTGTTTACCTAATAGTTTGGAACCAATGAATATGAAATTGCCTATCATTGGTAATTAAAATAAATTTGTCCATTTTATAAAAATTGTGAGATCTTGAATAACTGATCAAATAAAAGGAAAATCAACGGTGAAAAATAAATTTATAAGGTACGTGTAATTTTTGAAAGAATCTCTTCATAGTTGGTTACTTGTGCTGTGACAATGTCCAAAGACTCTAGTTACAAATTCATTGTCATTTTTATAATGAGGTTGGAGAAAATAATTTAGTTATTTCAATATAATAATGAGGTCTCTGAAAAGTTTGTCTGAACACACAAGAGAAATGGAAAATAAGAAATAAATAAAAAAGATAAAAAAAAATAGAGAGAAGTGCCTGAAAGAATCATGATGTCGTAGGTACGTCATAGGTGGTACACCAATGTACCTCCTTTCTTGCTTACTAACACCCCCAAAATATGGAAATAGTTACACTTGGATGAATATTTAGGGCATGTCTGGGAGCGTTTTCTTCCAATTTTCAGCAACCATTTTTACTGCAGAATGGAGCCCACTTCGGCAGCAAAACTTGACTTTGTAAAAATGAACTACCGAAAAAGCTCATATGTCATGCAAAATGAATTAAATATTAAGGGTAAAAATCTGCCACGTGTTATAGATATCTTCTTGTCGATTTCTTCTTCAACGTGCTTAAAGAAAGAGGATATAAGCGAGTCGACTGGATGATGTGGTTAGATATTCATTATTTCGCCTTCAACACTGGCATTGTTACAAAATAATGTTGCACAATGTTAAATGTACATTTTAGTACTGTGTACCACCAAGTTGCCCCAATTAAGCGTCGCATCCCCACACCGAACAGCAGGGGCGGATCCAGCCCCCGCGGCCGCCCGTGCTGGATCCGTCGGAATCTGCAATTTCTCGCCGAGC